CATATATATATATATATATATACATATATATATAGATATATATATACATATATACACACACACACACACATATACATATACATACACACATGCATATACATGCACACTTATATAATTCATGATTTTGTCCTCACTGTTTATCATTATAAATAAAGGTATTTACATACATACCACAAAATTCTTATCTAATTAAATTTTTTATGATTAAAATACATTTTTTTTAATGTATAGATGTAAAGTTTATCACAATAAGGTGTTATAATTGTAAATATCAAACATTTGAGTCTTATATACGTAAGTGCATAAGCATGCATTGTGTGGCATGTATGCAAATTTCCATATAAATTATAATTTTTTTTATGCAGTATTTTAAAACTGGGAAAAAGCTGGAAAGGGGGGTGTAAACGAGCCGAACTCGAGCGAGCCCAGGCTCATATTGTGTTCGGCTCGTTTATATTTCGAGCTCAAAGTGTGTTAGTGTTCGGCTATTTTGCTTAGCGAGTCGAACACGAGCCGTTCACGAACAAAAAATCGTTTTGACAACCCTAATCACGTAGCGATAAGATGTTAAGGATTGGTACAAAATTTATAACATCATTTGAATCTAATTTAATAATTTTTAATTAATTTTTTTAATTAATACTTTTAATTGATTATGATTCTTTGTAGCCTTGTAATCAATTATATATATATTGAAACGAGCCGAATAAAATGACCAAATTTGAACCACACAAATATTTTATTAGAAAGAAAAAAAAAACAATGATCCAGATTCACTGCAACGAGGTGATTTGACGGCGCACATCGCGTACACGTATGCTTGCGATTGCAACTATTTTGACTTTTTTATATTGGTTTGCATAAAATTATTGTAAGTTAAAAAGTAAACGTCTTGACTATTATTTATTTTTCATAAGATGATGAGGGCTGTCATGAGATATTATACGCATTTCAGATGTAGAAGCCTATTGCTCGACTGCTTTATGGCTCAATCGGCTCGTCTAACATGAGCCAGGCTGAGTCTGTTCAGTCGATTGGCTAGTTTTGATTAGCTTTGGGTCGACATGAATGTTTTGAATGTCTAGACTTTGTCGATCGTGATCTAGATTGACTATCGACCATTGATTTCTTGATAAGGAGTCTAGTTTGTCGATAGAACAAGGCCAGACTATTAAGCAGATAGTGAATCACCATAACCCGATAGATAGTTCATTCCTTGACGAGAGAGTCCTTCGGAATGATTGTGAGACTCTCTAGTATTGTCAATTTTTTGTCCCTGATGGCGAATCTCAAGGGTGTCCATAGGACGGTTGTGACACTGAGGAATCAGATTCTTCATTGGGTCGAAATTACCGAGAGGTTGGTCAATGTCTTCTCTCAACTCACAGTGCTGGTTAGCTCAGATGCGTATCTATCTTGATCTAGTTTGATCAGTTCGGACCCGAATCATCCTTTTGACCCTTTTCCAAGCTCGGCTAGCCGTGGTTCAAAAATTGGGTATGTGGGGCCTCTTGGTCTCCTATTGGTGGGCCCTCTCAATTCCTATGTATTTACATATCAACACCTACACTTCTAATTTTATATTGATGCCACCTTATCTATGCATGAAAATATGCATTCACTTTTAAAAGTTAGAAGAGCGATATTTTAGTATGATATTAAAGATTTGGGTGATATTAATATAAAAAAGTGAAATTTAAGTTTAGATATGTAAATACATAGAAATTGGATGGTATGTACGTAAATGCTCTAATTATTTTGTTTTATAAAATAAAATTCTTCCAAAAAATAAAAACTTATCAAAACCTTTGATGAAGATAATTTTTCCAAAGCATAAAAGCATTTAACTAAGGGTGTGGTGGTGTGAGGTGCCGCATCACAATTTTTTATGTTTGATAAAACTGTGTTTTGTCTGTATTCTCAAAAAACTACAGTTAATTTTTTTATATTTGTCAGGAAACTGAGGAAAATTTTTTTGTAATAGCCACCACAGTTTTTTATGCAACAACTTCTTCTTCAGCAGTTTTACAACTACTTCTTCAAATGACTATAGCTGCCCCAAAAGGACCCTAAGCATGTGCTCTATTTAGCACTTTAGAACTATAATTTATCTTGATTTTAGAAGATGAATGTGTAATAATGAAAAAAAAAAAATTAAAGGTTTACAAATAAACCCAGAATTGCCTAAAATCAATAATTTGATATTAACCTATCTAAATCTTTTTTAGGCAAATAATTGAGTAAAGTTCTATCTTACTAATAATAAAAAGACAATTAGCATAAATAATATAAAGTATAATGTTATTGCTATGAATAATACCATTAAAGATAGTGCCAGTTTAATGAATTTATATCATTCTAAAGAAATGATGTATCATCAACAAATTTTATCAATCAGAATGAATCTCGAATTATTTTTTTAGAAAAAATATTTTGCTTTAAATTAAAAATTATCCAGAGCTATGATTCAGCAAGCTTATAGTCAACTGGTTGTCTTGACAATACGAATTCAATGATACCAAAATTGAGTCAATACATGTCGAATAAAGCCTGAATCAAGCTATTTAACCACATTTGGAACCTTTGGTAGTTAATTGAAGGGTCAAATAAGCTCCAAATTTGATGTATTTATAGTCAAATCAAGCGTCTCGTCGAGATGAATCTAATAAGCCCAAGATCACATGATTTTGATATCATTAAGACTTCAAATCATAAAAATCTCATATAGTCAAGAGGAATAATTATGATATGTTTGATTCGGTGGTGACAGGAGTTATGCACCAAATGACAAAAATTCTCTTCCTTAGAGCTTATAAACAAACCCTCTTTCTTCACTTGAGAAGGAAGAAGAAGAAAAAGAGTCAAATTATAGTGTTGTTCTGGACTCAAGGCAATAACTTCTGGCCTCTGCAGCCACCAATCATAGCCCGCCAGTCCCCGTCGACCAATGTTGACTGCCCCTTGTTGGTCGTATTTGGCAAATTTTGTTGCTTAATAATATATCCTCAAACACTGCACAAGGAAGTGTCATGAATGCAATGTAACAAAGTATCACAAATGCAGAAATGCATAACGTCATATTACTGATTTGACGATAACTCCTGATGTCAACTACTTATGACAGTCATATTTAGAATATGATCACTTTCTCTTTACTCCTAAAGTTTTTATACATCGTTTACCTACAAGTGATGTCTCTGGAAAAAAAAATACCTAACATTGAGAGAAGGATTGAAGCCACTAACCGATGTAGCACCAACTACAACCTATGTGGCCAATTGAAGCTCTTGCAGTTGCATATTATGGTCTATGTGGTCAATTACTACTGTAGCTTCCCACTACAACCTACCTGACTAATTTTTGTCATTACAAACTTCTACTACAACATCTATGGCTAATTGACGCTCTTGCAGTGACCAACTATAGTTTATGTGTTTAGTTACTACTGTAGCTTGCCACTACGACAAAAAACGGTTAACTTCTATCACTGCAACCTCCCACTACAGCCTCCGATGGCCAATTGCTATCATTGCAACCTTAAACTATAACATATATGATTAATTGTTGTCATTGAAACTTTCTACATATTAGCTGCTATCATTACAACATTCCTCTATAGCCTACGTGATCAAATGTTATCATTACAGTCTTCCACTACGGCGGTCTCTCTGGCTAACAGACACTACTGCTGTTATCAATCACAACTTATGTCACGAACTATGGCCAATCTAGCTAACTGCTACTACAGTTTCCAATTGTGGTCACTATAACCAGCTGAGACTATCGTAACTACTGATTCAAGTCTTTATAAAAAATTACTGGATTTATAGCAATCAACTATGATATTTGTGTACCATTATTACTATCATCACCCAGAAATACAATTTTTCTAGCCCAACTATATCTATTAAACCTAT